CATCATCTCTCTTCGATCCAAATATTCTCCTCAACACCCTGTTCTCAAACACCCTCAGTCAGAATTCCCCCCATAATGTCAGAGACCAAGTTTTACACCCATACAGAACCACAGGAAAAATTACAGTTTTGCAAATTCTAATTTTTATTTATATAGATAGACTTACATTAGATATATGAGAGACGACCTCATCAAATGAACCACGTTACTTTCAACGTGAAGGAGATACGTTGCATATGTCTAACCATTTTGTGTGGGAAAATTCACGTGTGTTGGAAATTTCCATAAAGGGGACGTAGTCATCAGTCATTGAAATTTCACGTGACACGCTGTATGCGTATTTGAGTTTCACTGTCGATTACGAAATTGAGAGTACAATCTGAGGAGTGAAGAGCTGCACATTTGGTTAACAGCAAAAATAAAATTCAGAACGTGTCTCTAAAAATAGCGAAATGAGATTTAACGCAAACCTCACTCTACACCGAGTCACTGCTAACCCTGGGGACTGCCTCAGGCTCTCATCTCTTGCCCCAGGCTCAGTCGGGTTATCAGAGCAGCGGAAATCAGCCCAGCTATATATAGATAATCGATACGAGATGCAAAGGCAAACAATACGGGGAAAGCGGGGTTCTGAATAGCGCCTTAAATGTGAGTACTGCTAATTAAGAACTTTAATTATAAAACCGTAAGCTATAATCATCATAGATACTTTCACAGAATAACCACTTACATAAATATATGCTTAGCAGCCTTCATAAATTGCTTGTTCCAGTTACCAGAATGTTAAACCCCATATAAATTGTCTCCCGGGGCACAGCCCCCCAATCTTTCGTTCTTTAAGCATGTAGCGAACTGAAATTTGCAATCGTCCGATATATAGCGCCGTGTAGTTCCTATATGAGCTGACGTTTCGGAAGATCGTATCACATCCATCTTCAGGGTCGAAAATCAGACGAGCAATAAGCCAGGTAGAGCAGGTGGCTAGGCAGAATAAGTCAGTGGAGATAGCAGTTGGATAGGGGTGAGAGGGTAAGTGGAAGGGTGTGCTGTCAGTCCCCATTAGCTCGCTACTGTCTCTCCCGACTGACTGTTCAATTCGCTGGTTTCTTGCTCGGCTGATTTTCGATCCTGAAAATGGAGGTGATACGTTCTTCCGAAACGTCGGTTCATATACGTACTATACGGCGCTATATTCCAGAATACAAGTTTCATAACTACCGCTTTGATAACCTCAAATGCTACATATGTGGAAGTTGTTCGGATACGTGTATGACAGTTAGTTTCCGAGATATATTTTTATTTTGGATACCTTTCATCCGGACACCTATACATTCACCTTTCATCTTAATTAGTAGAATTTTATAAAGTTCAATAAAATTGGAATGCAGGAATTGGATGCTAAAATACGTACATATATATATATAA